GATGCCAGCGTCTGCCTGGTCTCAGATGTCAGGACACAGACACGGCAGAAGGACTGGTGCTCTCCCCGAGAGTGTCCAGCGCAGGGCCCACGTGGCCGCATTCTGAACTCCTGACTTCACACGATAATTAATAATGAAGGGGGGTAGGGAGGGAAGGAAGGAAGGAGGGAGAGGGAAGGAAAACTCATCCAGGGTTAAGAGTCTCTGTTTCCAGGAACACGGCCACCAAAGTGTGAGCTTAGGGGCAGGGATTCTCTCTCCTCTGAATGTCAACTTTTACAAACACCTGCTCCCTCCTGCTGCAGTGTCATCAGGAGGCCTTAATAACACTGCCCACCACACCCACGCTTTTGAAATAAGCAGCTAGAGCTGAGCACCGTGAAATGCCTCCAGCAAACAGAGTCCCTGGAGAACTGGATTGAGGTTCAATGACCTGGATAAAGATGGCGACTCTTGGCTAATCAGAGCTGGGAGCAGGGCAGTCAAGTGGTGAACCAGTTGTTTGCTAAGGAAGCCAGGTATCCAACCTCTCTCTGGGTATACATCTGGAAAGGAGATGTGCTGCCAGTAAAGTCACAGTGCACCTGAGCCCAGAGTCCCGCATCTCTCATTGTGCAGGGATGGGCATAGGAAGAAAGTGGTACTCAGACTTGGGTCCTCCATGCCCGGCTCTGTGGAGTGTGAGCCGTGGCAGATCTGAACCAGAGGCTGGGGTTGAGACCTTTGCTACCACTACTTGCCAGGTGGTCCCCAACCTGGATATCCTGGCCAGTAACAAGAAAATGTTTGGTGCCGTGTCCCCCCGGATTCAGACATCATCCCAGGCTGCTGTGTGTGGGAGTCTGTGAACCTAAATGTCAGTGTATGAGGGTGCTGCTCTGTACCTGCTCCGGCCAGGGATGAACCACTTCTTTTCTAGAACCTACCACCTCCACATCCCAGAGCTGCTGAAGAAAGGCTGGTATGCCTCTCTGACGCTGCTCAGGGGTATGGGCCAGGAGGGACTAGCTAGGGGTGTCCTAGGGGACCCTCAGCGCTAGAGCAACAGCAGAACACATGAAATATAAGACTCACTTTAGTTTCCTCCCAGGAACAAAGGGTCAAAGAGCAGAGGGTCTAAGAGAAAAGTTCATGTAATCCTCAAACTAAAAGATGCTCCTAAGTAAAAAAGCATGGGACAGGGATCGGAGGGGAAAACGCCCATCTTCTGAGACGTGAAGAGGGAAAAAACGTGATGTTACAGTATCATTGCCTCGAGACAGGAACTGAGATGATGTGGGTACCTAGTGCAAAAAAAAAGGAAAATTAAGCCGAGTGGCAGAGTCTTAGTAAGGAAAGATTCATAAAGAAGGAAGGGGGGGACATCGGACGGGGAGACGAACCATGAGAGACGATGGACTCTGAGAAACAAGCTGAGGGTTCTAGAGGGGAGGGGGTGGGGGGACGGGTCAGCCCGGTGATGGGTATTAAGGAGGGCACGCGCTGCGTGGAGCACTGCGTGGTACACGCAAACGATGAATCACGGAACACTACATCACAAACTAATGATGTAATGTATGGTGATGAACATAAAAAAAAAATGTAAAGAGAGAAAAAAAAAAAAGATTCATAAGTCTTGATGCTGAGCAGGGAGCCCGATGCAGGGCTTGATCCCAGGACCCTGGGATCATGACCTGAGCCGAAGGCAGATGCTTAATCGACTGAGCCACCCAGGTGCCCCTGGGCATAAAATGCTTTTTAAAGGAATCTTCATTCTGCAGGGCTGGGGAACTTGGCTGGTGCACTACGGAGCACAAGGCTGAGCGAACCCTGGCTTGCTCAGCCCCTGTGAAGGGACATAGGCTGAGGCAGCAGCCAACGAACATGGCAGGGAGGTTTGTCACACACGCAGGGGCTGAGCAAAGGTACACTTACGTTCAGGACAATGGGGACTAACCTCCTCACCATCAGAGAAAGTGGACACAGATATGGACACATGGGATGAAACCTCAGGGTGTTGGATTGTAAATGAAGACACTGATGTGAAACTATGCTTCCTAATATGATAGAGATCTGTATATATATATATGTCGGTTACATCAATCTTTTCCAGGTCTGCTGAAGCCTAGAGGGAATGACACCCCCGGAACAGTGAGCACATCTAAGCCCCAGATCTTGGTGTCTAAATACCATTCTTCACTAAAAGAAACCACTTTCCTTGGAGAACTGATGGTATCTGAGGCTGGGGTGGGGGAAGGACAAGATCAGTCTGAACGCGAGAAGCGCTCAAGAAATGACAGGGACGGATCAAAGGGACATGAGAGCCAGCATGAAGGCACTGGAATTGGCCAAACTGGGGATAATTGGAACATGAAAATAAATGACAATAATGGAGTAGAGCCCACTGATTAAATGGGAACCCGTGACTGCATACTGATATAATATTAAAAAGGGAGAAGGGAAAGCTATGCTTTATACCCTGTATCACATCGGTGGTATTTGCGCCAAAAATACCTAAGAAAAGCAATCATGAGAATTAAGACAAACCTATATTGAGGACATTCTGCAAAATAATTGACTGTACTGCCCCCAAAAAGGCAAAGTTGTAAAAGATAAGACTGAGGAACAGAGGACTAAAGACTCAGGAGTCGGGACAACAAAGTATGGTGGGGTCCTGAACCAGAAAGGGGGAAGAAAGATTCGCTGGTTGCTCCCATTGGTTGTTTTTTCTATAAAGAATATTTTTGAGACAGTCAACCAAACTTGAAAGGGATTTGTGGATTAGATGATAGTATTGTATCAGTGTTAATTTCCTGATTTTGATGGGTACACTGTGGATATGTAGTAGAAAGTCCTTATTTTTAGGAAATACACATTGAAGTATTTAGGGATGACGGGGCACACTCTCTGCAACCTACTCAGGTGGATGGAAGGACATGTATAGGATGGTTGGATGGATGGATGGATGGATGGATGGATGGATGGATGGATGGATGGATGCGTGGGCAAGTCAATGGATGGATGGATGGGTAAATGGACAGGTGAACAGATGGATGGAGGGGCAAGTCGATGGATGGATGGATGGATGGATGGATGGGGGATGCACCGGTGGGTGGATGGATGGATGGATGGGTGAATGGGCAGGTGAATGGATGGGTGGGTGGATGCATTGGTGGGTGCGTGGGTGGGTGGGTAGATGGATAAATAGGTGCATGGGAAGGTGAACAGGTGGATGAGAAAGAAAAGAGAATGATCAGGCTAATGAGGTAAATGTAAATGAATAGGGGACTCTAGGTAACAGATACACCAGAGTTCTATGTGTTATAACTTTCCTGTAACTTGAAACTATTTCAAAATTTAAGTTTAACAAATAAAAATAAGAACTGTAAACACTTAAAAAGACATCAAAACACTGGTGTGAGGAGCTTCCTCTACTAAGGTTAGAGCATGTCTTTGCTGGTTCACACATGGGGAAGGGCCTAGCTAAGGAGGCAGGAAGCCTGGGGCCACCCTCCCCCTTCCTTTGTCCCCTCCCATCACAGGTTAATTCAGTGCACACAGCGTAGTACCTTCTAGAAGGGCATCTCCAACCACATGACTGCCTCAAATCTCTGGTTTTCAGAAATCAGATTACTCACACTCTTTTAGAAGAAGAAGTAGTCTCGACGACACCAAAAAAGTAGAAGAGTGCATTTTATTGACATCAGACAGAACAATTTGTCTTCCACACATCCTATATACAACCGTAGCGCAATGTCGTGAAAAGGCAAGGCGTATTAAAACATAGCCAGTTCTAAGCAGAGTGGATATTTCCTGTCATAGAAAAAAAGTATCCTGTGCACAGATTCATATTAACATACACGGTACATTAACATCAATCTCTGTATTGTACACCAGGCCACGGGGCACGTCTGAGCACACGGCCGCGTCCCGCAGCGAACCTACTCGAAGAACAGCATTCGGGGGCTGCCAGGCGGGACACAGGAGCCAAGGAAGGAACGGGGCTAGAGACCAGTCTTTCACATCCAAGAGTGCGCCGCTGTGTCCTGGAGCCGCCCCTGGGAGTTACGCCCTAAAAGCCAAGGCTCCCACGCGGTGTAGGCGTTTGTCTGTGGCTCAGACAACCCGCGAGGCCCCAAGACGGTAGCACTCCGCCCAAACCACCACCTCACCAACTTCAGAGCTGGAAGAAAACCACCAAGCAAGGTGGCCCATCTAGCTGATAACACTAATGGCAGTCCGAAACCAAAACGGCGCTCTAGAGCTCAAAGAACACTTTAGGCGACCAGCAATGCACAAGAGCAAATTGCACCGTCAGGGTACGTGGGCGGCCACCCACGAGGACTGCCAAATTTGGACATAAAAGAGCAGGTCGTATGACTGTTGGCTTGCTTTTAAAAACCAACCTTATTACTTTACACTCAATTCTTCACGGACCAGACAACCCAAGGACGTGAACGTTTTTAACAAGTTTAAAGCAACAGTTAATAGCATGTTCGTCTATTAAAGATATTCTACAAAACAAGAATTTCACTAAAACTTTCTGAAACAGGCTCTTTTGCCTGCCGCTGGGTGGGAAGATAAAAGACACAGCTCCTCCTGCACCTGCTTCCCCAGACTGCTGCGCTGCAGGCCATCACAGATGGCTCGGCTCAGGACAGCATGCACTCACTCCTAGTCACGGCTCGGGGACCCAGGGGCCCACGTGAGGAGCAAGGAGCCCAACGAAATGATTCCGACCCATTGTCCGTCTGACGGCGGGTGTGCCGATCGGTGAATGGGTCGAACGAGCGCGTTCTAACCAACTGCCTTCAGAGGGTGACACGCCCAAGCGAGCAGACGCCCCACGTGAACCCGGAGTCAGCAGCCACTCGCCTCTCGCTGGCCCACTCGGTCAATGTCCCGCCAGGCCACAGACAAGACGAGCGGTGCCGACCGGCACGGCATCCTTCTGTCCCCACAGTGGAACACAGCAATGGGACAGGAAGCCCACGGGGGCCCCGGTCTCCGGGGGCAGCAGGCTAGGTCTTGCTTCGTCGGAGGAGTGTGGCAGCGGGGCCGTGGCCACCCTGGAACTTGAGGCTCTGCAGGTTGACCAGCGCCCCGTGTTTCAGCAGCGTCTCCACCGTCTTGGCATGTCTGCCCTGGGCGGCCAGGTGCAGCGCGCTGAGCCCCTGCTCGTCAGACAGGTTGAGCACATCGGCACTGACCAACTCCTCCACGACCTCCGAGTGCCCGCCAGCGGCGGCCAGGTGCAGCGCCGTCTGGCTGCGGGGCCCCCGGGCCAGCACGTCCGCCTTCTCCTCCACAAGCAGCTTGACGGTGGCCAGGTGCCCGTTCCGGGAAGCCAGGTGCAGGGCGGTGCAGCCCTCCGCCGTGATCGCCTCCTTGCTGGCGCCCCGATGCAGGAGCAACCTGGCGGTGCTCGTGTGGCCCGTCTCTGCAGCGACGTGCAGGGGCGTCTGCGACAGCAGGTTGCAGACGTTGACGTCGGAGCGCAGGTCGATGAGGATGCGGGCCACGCGGTAGTGCCCTCGCTGGGCGGCCAGGTGCAGCGGCGTCCTCCCGTCCAGCGTCTGCGCGTTCACGCTCACCCCGGGCTGCTTGGCCAGCAGCTTGACGATGGGCAGATGCCCCTGCCAGGCGGCGTAGTGCAGCGGCACCCAGGCATCCTTCCCCTGCAGACTCACGTCGACGCCTCGGCGCAGCAGGATGCGCACGATGCTCTCCTGGCCGTGCTGGCAGGCCACGTGCATGGGCGTGCGGCCCTCGCAGTCCACCTCGTGGATGGAGGCGTTCTTCTCCAACAGCAGCCGAGTGCTGCACTCGTCCCCGTTCTGGGCCGCGAAGTGCAGGGCCGTCCACTGGTCCTCGTCCGTGGCGTTGACGCTGATCTTCCGAGCCAGCAAGAGCTCCACGACACCCCGTACCCTCTTCTCCACGGCCACGTGGAGGGGGGTGGAGCCCTTCCTGTTGGTCAGGTTGGGGTTGGCGTTGTTGAGGAGAAGCCACTTGACACACTCCTCCTGCCCGGCCTCGACGGCCAGGTGCAGCAGGCTGGCGCCCCCGTCCAGCACCAGGTCGACGTCCTGGGGCTGCAGGATCTTCATCAGTCTGCTGGTGTCGCCGTTCATGATGGCATCCATGAGCTTCTTCTTCTGGACGTCTGTCGTGCCGAGATCTGTGGGGAGAGGGACGTGAGGCTCAGGCCTCTGGCCGCTCCCAGGGCCTGGCTGGAGCCCCGATGTGGCCCACGCCTCCCCTGCGGCCTCCGGGTCGCCATGTGCCTGAAATCACTCAAGAGCCATCTGTGCCGTGTTATTAGGTTTCAGATGTAGCGGGGAGACCTCAGGCAAAGTGAAAGTCATCCTACTGTCCTGTAGGGTCGTCATCAGATCAGGATGAAAACCTCAGCCGTGTGTGCTCAGAAACGGCAGTGACTGTTGACGGTCCTTCATCAAGAAGAGAAACGGGAAAGAGACGCACAGGCCAGGCAGGCGCCCCCAGTCCCCAGGCCAGGGGCACCCTTCCCAGGCCACCGGCTGCTCCCCGCCCCACACTCCAAATGTGGCCTCTTGTCCTGGAGACATCATGAAGGTTTCCTAAAACAATCCTCAAAGGACTGAATTCTCCTGTTTCAGAAGGACCGTTATTCATGATGGAAAGGTTAGTCCTACTACAGTGTCTGGGTTCCGATTCGTGTGGAGAAAGAACCCCTCCCTCCATGAAACTCCCTCCAGGGGACTTGCTTGGGGTTGGGGGGTACAGGATGGAATTCAAGAAAATACAGCCCACCCAGTCCGCCCAGTCTGGATTAGTGCGTTTACACGGGCTTTGGAGCGGAGCCAGGAACTGATCCTCTGAGAGTATCAGACCTAGAGAGAGTTCTACGACGTACTTCTCCCCCAGAGATGGGGAATCTCTTTCCTGTTCAGTCTCATCACCCGGTCAAGCTGTCCAGCTGGGCCTTGCCCAGCGAGCTGTCTTTGTAAGACATTTCCTCAACCCAGAATGCCCTCTTTTGCCCCAAATATTCCACTCTAAAAATCCCAGGAGGCTCACAGCATGCAGGAAAAGCCCTCCCTTCCAGGACGAGTTCCCTGATCCACCGGGAAAAACAAACTTCCCCTCCTGCTGGGGTCCGCACTCTTCCCACGGCCCTGGGGCACTCGGCCACCCCTATACCACCACTGCCCTGAGCGTGAACATCCCTGTTTGCCTTGTGGGGCTGCAGCACCCTTAGGGCAGGACAGGACCACATCTTATCCTCCCAGGGTGGGGTGGGGGCGGGGGGAAGGAGGGAGGGCTGGAAGGGAGCTCCAGTAAGCACCAGCCCCCGTGCCCAGGGACCAGCATTTGGCCCAGGGGCAGGGAAAACCCCCTTCTGAAGGAGAACCCATCAAAATTAACATAAAAATATAAGATCACCTGAGAAGGACCCCATCCCAACAGATGGTAGATGACGGGACCAATATGTTAAAACCTCTAGGGCCAACTCACCCATTATAATACATGGCTAAAATAAATGGGGAGCTCACAAATAAGAAAGTAAAGGGGTTTCAGAAAAAGGGGGTACAGGGCTGGCCTCTACGAGAGAGATCTCGAGAGTGTGGGGTTCGAGTCAACCTGCTGGAATCGCTTGACACAACCCAGGTTTTGCAAACCTGAGGTCAGACCCTACACCTGGAGTTGGCACAGGTTAAGACCTCCTGCACAGCCGCGGGGGCATGGCCCGTTCCCCTTACTCTGAAGTGACACCCCACAGAGACACTCAGCCCGCCACTCAGCCAGCACGTCTCTCTGGCTGTGTGCTCAGTGAGCTAGCTACGCGCTGACGCGCCGGACCAATTAGTTCCCGGATACAAAAATGAAGGACTGGGTCCAGAAGCTGGGTGCCCGGTCCTGTTAGCTGCACACAGACTCCTACACACACTGCCTGCCCCCAGCCCCATCATTAAGCGTGTCACTTCCCAGGATATGGGGTCCTCGCTTACCGCCCGTTGAAGGCTCCCGCTCAAATGACAAGGACAGTGATCCTCTGGAGGAGAAGGCAGAGTCGACAGAAGACACCCCCGAGAGCCTCTTGCCGCTGCTGGTCGATGGCAGCCTGGATTCAGAGCAGCTGCGGCTGAGCTCCTCCGGGCCGTCAAGGGTCTGAGAGGTGCCGGAGTCCAGCTGGGACAGGAGCTCAGAGAGGCTGTAGTCGCTGTCGAAGGTCGGCGCGGATGCTCGCTTGAGAGGCGTGCACACGGGCTTCTGCAAACCAAGAGGGGGGGTGGTATGGATGAGCCCCACCCAGGACACAGGCTGTGCAGGCGGAGGGCGAGGGGGCACTGGGTCCCCAGGCAGCCACACAGGGTGCTCTGCCCATCGCGACATGCACAGCAGCAGGGAGCCCAAAGTCCACCAGGCGCAGACACACTGTGAGCAAAGATGGACTGGAGAGACACGGGAAGCCCGTCAAGCTGGGCGGGACATGACGGCGCTGGGAGCGTGTGAAGCCCGAGCACTGGGCCGTGTCCACCCTGGCAGGCCAGCATTGGTAAGGAAGGACACGGACAGGGGCTGGGCATGGGGGCGAGTGCAAGGGGCGGGCCCAGCTACAGCAACAGGGCCAATCCAGTCCATACGCGCCAACAGGGCCTTTTCGAGGGTGTCCCTACCGGGCTTCCAGAAAGGCAGATTTCTGGTGAGGGATTAAGCCCGAGGGTGGCTGCCGACTCGCCCCAATTGAAGCCCACTTGTCCCCAGTCCTCCATCTCCTTGGGAACTGCAGATCTGCTCTGACCTGGTAGCTCAGTGCAGAGTCACACCCTCGAGCTGGGTGCCTTTCTCTTCCTTATCAGCGGCAGGTCGCCTCCCCCAGGCACCTTTGCTCCCCAACCTCACACACATGCCCCTTTATGTTCAGACAGTGGGCACGCCTTGAACGCTTACTTATTTTCCGGCCTTGCACGGACGGCCTGGGATACATCACCCAGTATCAGATAACATGTCAGGCTTCCCGTTACGAGTCTGCCGCGGCCTCGCCACCCCCGGGGCCTACTGAGCCCTAGCCTTTGGGGTTAGTCATCGTACCTCATGGAACTATGTGGCTCTCCTAGAGCAAACCATTTATGAGTGGCAGTTACAAAGTGGCCAGATTTCCAAGTCAGGGGAGCAGAGATAGCCAGACCAGCAGAGCCCAGACCCCCTCCCCCGACGGGGCCCACGAGGGCCATCAGTTCCCCTGGCTCAAAGAGCATCCGACCACTGGCCCTCCAAAGTCAAATGTGGGCCCACATTGTCCATTCTGAACCACAGACTGGAGGTGGGGACAAGATGCAGTTGGGCAGGAAGGGCACCCAGGGTTGCCAGGCCGGCCATGCGACCTGCCCTCCTGCTCCTGCATTTGGGACCCCGGGGCTGGTTCCCGAGCACGAGGCCAACTGGCCTGGGACAGGGCTCCATGTGCCAGATGACCCGAGCAGCCGGTCCGGGCGAGCAGGGGAGCCTGCAGAAAGGAGAGTGGCCCCTGAGAAATGACATCCAAGAAGGTGGCTGTTACCGGGCTCTTGGGCTCCAGGGGCTGCTTCGTGTCCAGATCCTGCGCCGTCTCCTTCACATCACCATCGGGCTTCTCACACAGGTCCTCGGTTTCACAAGTAATTTCTTTTGGGGAGACAACAAAACAGGGCACGTCACTCGGACGATGACTTCCACATTCACTACGTAAACATGCGACCTCGGCGGGGACCGAAGAGGCAGCAGCTGGGGCGCCACACCCCAGGGGGCTGGCCAGCACCGGGGCTTCCCAGGCTGCTGGCCCAGCGGACCTCACGAGCCACTCCGGGGCCTCCTGTTAGCCACCACTAGCAGGGTCTGCCAGACTCCAAGGAGGGCCCACGGCGTTCCAGTTTCCCAAAGAAGCCCTCCCTGGGGAGCCGCCAGCACATATGCCCACGATGGTGCGGTGGCCGGCTCCTGGCAGGTGAGGCCCCTATAGTCTCCCCAGTGTGTTTTCAATGTAACGACCAATCCTAACTTCATCAGAATCGCTTTCCTACCGCGAGGATACATCCATTCCAGGGGTACAAGACCCCAAGAGAAATGCAAAGAAAGCCTCAGGGGAGTGGTCCCATCAGTCCCCTAAAGATGCACCGCCGTATCTGAACTCGCAGCACCAAGCACGGGCCGCTCTGGGCAGCAAGCTGCGACTGTCCCCCGCGTGTCAGCCGCCCCGCCCCAGCCCCAGGCGCTGGAGGGCCCCGGGCCAGTGGGCAGCCTGTCCGTGCACCTGGGTCTGCTCTCCCTCCCACTCTGGCCCATCTACTCTCTCCCGCGTCACCAGCACAGCAGTCAAGCGGCAGCTTCCAGGGAGCCCCCGGGCACTCACCCTGGAAGGTGGGTCTTTCGCGTGGGTCCCCGTGCCAGCACCGCTGCATGAGGCGCAGGAGGGTCCTGCAGGCTCGCGGCCGGGCTCTGCACACGGGCGGCAGCTCTGGGCGGTGGCCCTTGACCACTTTCACCATGATGTGCAGGATGTTCTTCTCATCTGCAAGGGAGAAGCATGTAAGTCAGAGCAGCTCCGCGGGGCCGGAGGCCGTTTCACCAGGAGGAGGGGAGTGTGTCACCGACACCGTCCCCACAATGTCACCTGGGAGACCACTCCATTTCCTTGGCAAAGCACAGAGCACTCTCTAATCCTTGATCTTCCAGGGCACATCTGTCCTCCCTTTTCCAGGTTTTAGAAACTCCCTACGATGTACCAAATGGAACCAGGGTGCTGTATCACAGGGCAGATCTTTCTGGGCATCCAACTCAAAGGAAAGCAGGGTTCAAAGAAGAAAATTGATGAGACATGTTCCAAAGTGGCCCGTGCATGCCAAAGGGAGGCAACACTTATAAATCATGAAGTCATGTGGTCCAGCCTCCAAGTGAACCCAAATCTCCCTGTGATGATACAGAACCCTTCCCAAACTCTGATTTCTACACCAAGGCGCAGGCCCCGGCGGGGGGCGGGGGGGGGGGACAGGGGGCGGCGCTGTGCAAGGAGCTGGCCATGGCAATGCTGGCCAGGACGCCTGGCCTCCTCAAAGTGTGCTCAGGTCTGGGGTGCGTAAACGGGGGCCTTTTCCCCTGCAGTTCATAATGTGGGGCCCCACCTGACCCCTCTGCGACCTTCATGAGCATGATGGACCCATTACTATCATCATAACCTTGGTCACAGACCAAGGGGCCCAAGGTGACCTTTTTCTCTGCACAATGTCCATCAGGTTGGACCCCAAGCTTCCTGTTCCCAGTGCCCCCCACCCACCCTGCAGTTCCCAGTACGCCCACAGCATGGGAGCTCTGCCGTGGCAGCAGACCCATGTCAGCAGGTGTGGACAACTGGCCCCAAGTCCCCACCGCCACCTGCCAGGATCTTACTCTGCCGCTCCATGCCGCCTTCCCGTTAAATCTTGTGCAATAGCTGTCTTAGGCAGCTACACGTTATTTCCATAACACACACTTCCAAAGCCTAGCAGGCCCTCTGAGTAAAATGAAAGTAAAGTAAACACCTGGAAGACTTTCTGTTGCCAAACAGATGGAAAAGTTTCAAGAAACACCTTTTGCTCCCATACCTTGAACTCCCCTACGTCCCAAGCAATAAAACACTCAGGCCTTGGCTCTTGACGTTCATGTCATGCACCTGGCCTTGGGTGTTGTGTTGGTCGGTCAATCTCAGACCACGGCGGATTCAGACCACAGCCTCCACGGAGGAGGAGGAGTCAGGGAGGCAGACAATAGGCACACACACACGGACTCTGCTCTGAATTTTCAGATCTTTCTGGTCAAACTGTAAAACAGCGTGAGTGACCCACGTATGCCCACAGAGGAAAACGATGAGGGTAAAAAGTCCTCGGTTTTTATAACACATCAAGATATTAGCACTTTGAGGACAGGCATCGGAACAGCGGTGGCCTGAAGGGGGACGAGACGTCGCTGCCCTCAAAGGGGGGCGCTGGGGACACATCGGTGCCAAATCCACCCAGCCATCCTGGAGACTGGTTGCCCAGCAGGGTGAATGTGCCTCATACCACTAAACCACACACTTAAAGGCGGATAAGATGGTACATTTTATATGTATTTTACCATATTTAAATAAAAAAAAAAAAGACTCAGCTGGAAATATCCACAGCTGGCAAATCCAGAGAGACAGAAAGCAGCTAGGCAGTCGTCAGGGGCTGGGGGGCGGCGGCGGTGGCGGGGGGGGCAGGCGGACAGGAAGGGGCTGCTGCATGGGCAGGGGGTTTCCTTCGTGGGGGTGGGAATGTTCTGGGACTAGGCAGTGGGGGCGGCTATACACCAGCAAATGCACTTGATGCCCCCGAGTTAGACACTTCGAATGGATAAAAGGATAAGTTTTATGTCACGTATATTACATCACACAGACACACAAAAGAATCACCTGGCACCTAAAAAAAGAAAAGCACTGAACAGACCCCTGCAGACAGCAGCCTTTTCTTGTCCGTGAATGATGCTGCAAGACTGCTTGTCTCCGTACAGAGAGGCCTGCCGTGTGGGCCGTGGGCCTCTGTGAGGACGTGCTGGGCGGGACGGAGGAGCAACCCCATGCCCCCCGCCCCCCAGGACGGTCCCGCCGGCTTCACGGCCCAGAGCAAGCCCCCTATCCCTGCGGGAAGGCGGGCTGCAAGCACAGCTTGAGCAGAGACAGGACCACACACGGCACACCCTCCACTGCCCCAGGACAGACGGATGCACTGCCCCCAAAGACAAGGCCACTCACCTGCAAACGGTTTCTTCTGTGTGAGCACACCCCAGATCACAATGGCAAAGCTGGAAGGAAAATCGGCCAGGTCAGTATCTGTGAGCCAGAAGCTCCCCCACACAGCAACAAGCTGGAAGGAAACCACTCCAGAGAGTCTTCAAAAGTGGGGGAGTGGGAGAGAGAGGACACCAAGATGTTTTTCATGGGCTTGGTAAACAGGCGCTCTTCCCACGGAGCAGGGTGGTAGCTCAGATACCACCCAACAGACACAACCCTGCCACGTGGCCTCGTGCCAGCTCAAACAGCACAGGGGTGGGGGTGCAGACAGGAAAGGAACGCCGCTCTGCAGCTGGACCGTCGGCTCGTGGGGAGAAGGGCCTGTGTCTGCTTCATCCCCCCCCGTCTTCCGGCAGGCACAGGGCGCAAGACGCTGACGCCAGCTCTGGGCGGTGCGAGGAGCTTGCTCACTGAGCTGTCACACAAGGCCGGTCAGAGAACACGAGGGCCGGGCCGGCTGACCTTCCGGGGGCCCTTTCTTGGTTGGTAGAAATTATATATACATTTTCTCTCTCTCTACATATATATAGTGTACAAAATTACTCTGAATATAACCCCCCAAAAAAGCACAGTCTAACACATTTTTAAAAAACAAAACCAAACCAGGAGCCCAGACACTGCACCAGCACCCTGCACTGAGCTGAGAGTGGCTATTGATAGAGATGCCAAGAATTCTCCATGGAAAAGTAACTGAAGGCTGCAAGGTCAAAAGTTGAAACTCTCAACTCCAAAACAAACACAGAACCTTATTCTCCCCAAACTCCACAAGCTGGGACTAGCGCCCCCCGCCCCCCGCCGGTGCCACGGACAGCGGACGGACAGCTCAGAGCCCAGAACAGCGCACACACAAGGGTGACTGTCAAACCGGTCTGCCAGCACTCCGGGCGCGGGCGATGTCACAAAGGCGAAGCTTCGTGCTCTGGGGCTCAGGGTCATAGTCACCATGCGTAAGCCAAGTGCCACAATGAGGGGCTTAGGTGCACCCTCCCCTCCTCCCTCTCTTCTCCTTCATCAGGTCTGGGTGAGTAAGACCTTTGCAATTGTGAAAAGGACGGCTCCAATGACGTGGGGATTATTCTCGAGTCCCTAAATCCCACGGACGCTAGTTTGTGGACAGCCCCGGCGAGTCTGCGCTCCTCTTGTCGAAGGTAAGTGACATTAGGAGCATAAGCTGCTGGGCCAGAGGGGCCCGGCTTAGGCGCCCAAATCCACACACATGGAGACACACAGAGCGCTGAGAGCAGCAGACAAGCTATAAAAACCCCACTTTATGAAAACCCGGGAGCTTTCACAGTGCAGGAGCCACCGGTCTGGTTACATAACTGTCTCTAACTGGCACCAACCATGAGTGTTCCCCACCCCCGGCCGGCAGCACTCACAGCGGACGGCGGTCTCGCACACCTGGGACAGCCTGGACCTACCAGCTAAAAACCCCGAACCTTTTCATTTGGACTGAACCTCGTATCTCACCACACCGAGCCGCCCCTAGGAAAGCCGGCACTCGGGGCATGAAGAATCAAGGTGCAGAGCCCCGGCTGGGCCCCCCCACGCACACCTGTCACACACCTGTACACATCATGCTTGGTGTCGAAGAGCCGGCTCTTCTCCCGGATGCGCTCTGGAGGGAGGTAGGCGATGGTGCCGAACAGGCCGTCCATGCTGAGGTCATGCGAGTGAGACAGCCCGTTGCACTTGGCCAGCCCAAAATCGGAAATCTGCAACACAGCAATGAGACAGGGCTCAGCGAGCTTCGCTGGGGCTGCACCGGGGGAGGCGCTGAAGGCTCCCGTCTGGGGGCTTTATCAACCCCTCCCCTCTGCAGTGTGGCATGGCTCCGTCCCAGCGCTGCCGGGCAGGTGCGTTCAGGAACCCGCACCGGAGGGCCAGCCTTGTGCTCCTCCGGGGAAGACAGGAAGGCAGAGGCGGCTTCGGAAGAACCGAGTCCTGGCCGGGGGGAGCTTGATGGGCAGGGGAAAGATGACGCTTTAAGGAAGGAATTCACTGGGAGACAGAACTCAAGAAGATTACAATCTTAACGCCTGCCACTGGGGACAGCCCGGATCGGCCTAAAGGAGAAAAGCCATCCTTCAAGTTTTCAGGTTTTCAGATGACACGTGACAAGCGAGGCTCACTGCTAAGGCCACCGGTTATGCCGCGGCCCCCGCTGGGGAGGCGGGCAGGTGGCAGCACGCTCTTTAAAGGGAAATATGCCTTCAGATGCCCCTTAAAGCAAACAAAACACACACTACGCAACCTCGAGGGGGCATGCCTCCACCTGGAACGGCGTGTCATCAACGGACACCTGCTGGCTCCTTCACCCAACACAAGGCATCCACATAAAAGGTGTGGCGCACTTCTCCTCCTTGTGCGGGGCCCACCCATCTGAAGGAGCCCCAGACCCCAGCTATGCAGGCCCCCCCACACCTCCGTCTCCTCCTCTCCTTTGGGCCAAGGTGTCTGGAAAGCTCAGGAAGCTCGGGGGACCCCACAGTGAGGGGGGCGTCACCATCTCCCCACAACTCTCCCCCTCTTGTGTAAATCAGGACCCTTGGACGCCAGCTGAAGCGCTGTGTGTGGGCTTAGGTCACACTCACTGGCACAAAGGGACTCGGGACCCACATGGAAAACTGCCCCTTCAGAGGCTCTTCCAAGGCTTATGAATTATTGTGAAGCCGTCTAATGAATCCAAGGCCCCTCCTCAAACACACGGATGGGGGGACAGGGAATGGAGCTGAGTCGGGCCTGACTTCTGGGCTCGCCGTGCCCTCGAGGGGAGCCCACAGCCTGGCGTCAGCACCGCTGAACACAGGGAGAATTTACGCCCGGTCACCCGGCCCTGCAAGGGCTCCCTGACCATACCTGTGGGGAGTGGATGGGGCAGAACGGGGGCAGGACGGGGTCCGGCTCTCCATGTGCAGCCAGGCCGGTCAGGCTGGCCTGGGACCACGCCAGGAGGGCCAGCCTGGCCGCTCCTGGGCCCCTGGCTGCTCGCTGCCTGCCGTGTGGGCCTTCACGAAACTCCCCGCCCACCGCCTTGCCCGGCAGATCCACAAAGCGGCTCAGGGCCGACAGAGCCAGGCATGGCGCCTCTCCAAGTGGACAAGTGCCAGTGTTTCAGTTCAAACTCTCAGCCGCTTCAACCTTTTAAGTTCATAAGTGGAGACCGACTGGGGTACAGGGGCCTCACCCCGTGCCCCCACCCGGCTCAAGGCCTTTTCAAGTTGTTTGCAGGTACAGCCAGCCATCTCAAAACGTCCTTGGTGTGAGAAAATAAGCATAAATTCCATGTAAAAGCTACGGCATCAAAATGCAAATCAGAAATCCGAATTCTCTGGTGGCCGCTGACCCTCAGCGCCCCATCCCCTCCCCACCGGGTTTCTCCTCTGGCCCTTTCCCACCTGTTCTGCCCAGGGCCTGTCTGCCCTGACCCTCGACACTGGGGCCCAGGCCATCCCAGCGTCTATCGTGTATAGGCCCCATAATTCGCTAACACACTCAACTCACATTCAGCGTCCGCCTCAGTACGGCTCAGTGCTCACAGGTGCCCCCAGGACATGGGCCCTTCACCTTCTGGGCCCAGCTGGACGAGACCAAGGAAGGGCCTGGTCAGGGCTGTGCTGGCTTAGAGAGAAAAGCCTGTCGGACCACAGGAGAACAGGACCCTCAGGGTCCCTCTGGATATGGTCTGGTCTGGGCAAACTGGACCTGAAGGAGCCTGAGATTTTAAACTAAACCATTTCAGGGGGCGCCTGGCTGGCTGAGTGGGTGCAGCATGTGACTCTTGATCTCGGTCATGAGTTCAAGCCCCACGTTGGGTGTGGAGCCTATTTTAAAAAAAAAAAAATACAACAATAAACTAAGCTATTTCGTTTTCAACTTGAAATGGGCTTGCTCCCTTGGTATTTCATTTAGTTAATACTAACATCAAGTATTAATTTAATATTAAGTCTCTTTAATGCACTTTGCAAAGTAGGTGGTTGCTTGAGCTCCAATCATCCTTACTGGGTACAGAAAGGCAGTCTTGAGGGGCCCAAAGGGGATGGGGGAGGCTGACAACTTATGATCTCATTTCAAGATTCCAGATTCAAGTCTTATCGCTCCAGATAATCGCAGACTGCAAACTGCCCCGAAATCCGGGGGCCGATCGATCAATACGGAGCTTCCAGGCAACATGGCAGCTCAAACACTGCCCTCCGCGCCGCATTTCTCAGAGTCTGGAAATGTGTGATGGAAACATGTCATCTGTCTGTTGGGGGCTGAGCGGTGGTCACAGAAGAGCAGCCCCCCCTCCCTGGAGGCCTTTCAGGGTGCTGGGGAAGCTCCAGGGTCACTGCGCTTCCCACCAGCGGAGATGGGGCCCTGGCTTCCACCTGCTCCCGCCTGGCTTCTGCCCCGCTTGTCGCCCCAGGCTCCTTGGGACCCACTGGCACTGGGTTCTTCCAGAAACTTCACCCGTTTACTAAAGCAGCCATCAGCGCCAGGCTGCCAAGCCAGCGTGCACACGAGGAGGGGGAGAAAAAAGTGTTCAAATGGAGGAAGCTCAGAGCCAAAGCAGGATGACCTACCAGGAAAGCAAGCCCCCAGCGTGTCACGCAGGGAACAGCAAGTATCAAGTGTCTACTGTGGACCCAGCACTGGAGACGCTCCCTGGACGAAGGTCAGCATCCCCGGGGAGCAAAAAATGACCATCTGGCCACCAACACCAGTGGCACCAACAGCACCGCCCTCAGTAAGCACGTCTGCGGGCCAGGCACTGAGCTGTCAGCACCCCCTCCCCTAATCTAACTTAGCCTCCTGCTTTCCCTCCCGCTAAGAAGCCTAGAATTTTCCATGACCTTTCTGCCTGTGCCCCCGCCTCCTGCCAGCAGCAAAGCCTGATCCTCTCTGAAGACCCAGCACCCCCGCCCCATGGCACCTGGACCCCCAGCTGGAGTTCTGTGAATAACTCCTCCCCCCACCCCGCAGGTGGCCTGTGGGGCACCTGCGGCCCCATACCTGTTCCACCCTCATGTGACACCCCTGTGCCGCACGCTTGGTCTGTGCGCATCGCCCACACGGCATAGAACCCTGTCACCGCAGATGGATGACCGAACAGCTGGGCAACCCTGGCCTCTGGTGTAACCCCCTGAGCCGCAGCTTAGCAGGAAGCAGGCCACCACCCAGGGCACCTTGTCGGGGGCGGGACCTCTGGCACACCACACGGTCTACCACCGCTCCTTAGTCTTGTGTGTATTCAAGCCCGAGCTCAAAAGCTGCATGCCTCCCTGGGTGCCCAGAGGACTGCACCTTCCTTGAAATAACCCTGTAATGTCAGTGGGGGCAGAAGGTCCGCACGGGAAGCCAGCACGCCAGCCAGAGGGAAACAGGGCTCCAGCAAAGCCTGGGAACCCCCGTGGCACCCGTTCACACCAGACCATTTGTTAGCAGGAGAGCATTTCCATCTGCCCGCTACAATCTGATTTCTGGGCAACATCCATTCAAGGGAAAGTTCGCAGTGGAAAGTGGTCTCCCCGTCGGCCTCAGGCTGGCCAGGCCTGCGGCAAAGTTGGGGCCCGGGGAGCTGCCGGCAGGTGCATGCCACCTGGTCCCACTCCTTCCAGACAGAGCCCAGGGGCAGGGCCGGACTGAACTCCGGTCCCTCCTGGCCCTCGGGCCAGCAGAGGAGGGGACCCTCCAAGTGCCGTGTGACCAGCCAGGAAGAGCTAAGTGTCTGAACAGGTGAGTCCCTTCCCTGAACGGTTCCCACAGGGAAGAGGAAGGGATTCAGGCCACTGCTCTGGGATCCTTCTCATTCACTCTCGGGCCAGGTGCCGGGAAAGCGTGGCGGCAAGTGCATCCCATAGGCCAGCACACGGCCCCAGGCCCCCCAAGCAGGCGTGTGTCTCCACAGGGAGAAAACCCATGACATGTGTCCCGCCCTGGTGTCTACCACAGGACCCGGGACACAAAGGCATTCCAAAGGAGAGACATATTCAAAGAAATACAAACCCGACAACGTTATTAACTGTGATTCCAGGTGGCTGGTACCTGGTTTTTAGCTCTATTATCCCTCATGCTTTTCTGTGGTTTATAAACTTATCCAAAAATAAGAACAAAACCAGACCTCAGAGACCTCACATGATGTGGACAGAATGAGCCCCCTTCGGAGTCTCTTTCCGTGGAGCCTCCATTTTGGAGCACTCGCATCTCCCACCACCACCATCCCTGAGACCACCGAAGGGGATGCAGCCGCCACCACAGAGCCCGCGGTCCCACGGAGACAGTCCGCCCACGGTCTGACTCCTAACTGGATTTCAAGAGACATCCGGTAAGACCCGAATCTGCAACCCCGTAAGCTCTTTTTTCCAGAGTGCACAGAATTTAGACTCCTGCTCCAGGATCTAGTGGGTGCGTAAGGGTCCATTTCCCAGCCACGCATTCTGTGGGGCTTACGGTGACCACGACAAGACTGGGAGTCGCTGGAGTCCTTACGCTGACGGAGGCCTTTGCTCCGAGTGCCTTCCCCCAAGCACCACGCCCTCTCCACCCTGTACCACCCCGGCTGCCTGGGCCCCACACACGGTGCCGGGCGAGTCCTACCTTGACGTGGTAGTGGGCGTCCAGCAAGATGTTTGCAGGCTTGAGGTCCAAGTGGAGGAGAGGCGGGGCCATGCAGTGCAGGAAGTTCATGCCCACGGCCGTCTCGTGGATGATGCGGAAGCGCAGATCCCACGGCAGTGGCTCGGAGGCCAGGAGCTTCTCCAGTGAGCCCGTCTCCATGTACTCCATGACCAGGCCCACGGGCTCCTGGCATATGCCGTACACAGGCAGGATGTAGCGGAACTTGGCCATCTCCATCTTCTTGGCTTCTTCCAGAAGCTCCCCTCGCTCCCTGAAAAAGTTTTGGAAGACGTGAGACGTGCGTGGTCCTCGCCCAGGCACTGACACATAGCACCACGGCGCAGAGGCCACCAGCTCCACAGGTGGAGAAAATGACCCACACACACGTCGCATGATCCCATTCGGGGCCTCCCAAGGTCAACAGTCCTATGGCTATCCAGACGCTTCTGTGCTCTGTGGGTGATTGTGCATGAAGAGGAGGAACTGCTAATTTCATCTGAAAACCCAGGCGAGCACTGAGCCACTGCACGCTGGGGTCACCGAGTGAGGCGGCTGATGCTGGCAATCCCTTCTCCTGGGACGAAGGAAGGGAAGTTCCCGTGAGACAAAGCATCGTCCGAAGACCCCTAGTCACCTCCTTTGTGAAGCCAACACTCCATCTGGCCCAGGTGTCCCTGAATCCAGCCCCACACTTATGTCAGTGGCATGTCAGCCCGGGAAGCCAACCTTTTTCTAAAACCATTGTTTTAGTTGCAGTAAAATATACATAACAGGGTTTTTATTTTAACCATGCGTAAGTGTACAATTCGAAGGCATCACATACACTCACAGGGCTGTGCAACCATCCCACGCTCTACGCCCACACCTTGTTCATCGGCCCAACAAGAGCTCTGGGTCCATTCAGCAGGAGGCCCGTCCTCCTGGCCCCGCTCACCCCGGGCTACCTCCTGCCTGTACGAACTTGTCTACGCATCTCACAGAAGCGCAGTACACGGTGTCTCGCCTTCTTTCACTCAGCATCTCAACATGATGTGTTCATGGTTCAGCCGTGTTGTAGCGTGTGTCCAAACCTCATTCCTTCTCGCGGCTGAATAATATTCCGTTGTAGGACCACGTCACACTTTATGTACCCAGTCATCAGACGAATGAAGCTGTACATCTGGACACGCTGGTGTACAAGTACCTGTTCGCGTCCCTGTTTTCAACCCTTTGGACAGGATGGCTGGGTCATGGGGCAGTTCTATGTCCAACCTTTTCAGAGACCCCCAAGCACTGTGCACAGCCTGCCCTCGGTTCTGATGGGAAGACAGTCCCACCCGTTCACGCCTCATGGCTGTGCCTGTTTTCCCGCTCGAGGCGGAGACCAGCGGATGTGGCACGGAGTCGATGGGCTGCAAAACTCCAAACGTTTGCTCCCGAGCCCTCCACAGAGTGTGCCAGCCCCCAGTCTAAGGTCTCGTCTGGTGCGGCCGGGGACTCACAGGCTGGAGTCCCTGTATCCTGGTCTGTGTTAGTGTTATGGGGCAAAAGTCCCAGAGTGCATGCAGGAAAAAGGGCTGAATCACAGGAGGACGGGGCTTGATCATGCGCCATCTAGATCAGTGGTTGTCAGAACGGGACAAGGTCGAACGCATCCAGAAAGCTGGCTGAGATGAAGACGCCCAGGCTCTGCTCCCACGTGGGCACCGGGTGCTGCAGGAGGATCTCAGCCCCTCGGCCCACACATCCAACCACTGCGGTCGGGGGTCTCATGTGAGCATCTGCCAAGAAGCTGTACATGGTTGCCTTGGGGAGAGGATCCCTGAGTGTCGATCAGCGACGCTCACGTACGGGCAGCTTTGCCCCCAGGGACTGAGCAAGGTCTGGGACGTTGTGGGCGTCACAGCTCAGGGCTGCCACTGGTATCCAGTGGGTAGAGGCCAGAGATGCTGCTCGATATCCCACAATGCATAAGAGAGCTCCCAAGGCAAAGAATTATCCAGCCCTAATGAGAACAGTGCCAAGTCTGAGAACCCCCAGGATAGACCAAGCTAAGTGCATCTCGGCCAAATTTAAAATAAACCACTATAGTCTGGAATTGCCCACGTAAGTCTGTTTCTATGGTCAACTAATACTTAATAAGGGAGCCACGAACACCCAATAAGGACAAGATAATCTTGACACGGGGTGCTCAGAAAACTGGAAAAACACATGCAGAATAATGATGCTGTACCCCTATTTCACACCACTCACAAAAATTAACTCAACATGGATCAAAATCCTAAAAATAAGACCTGCCACAATACAATTAGAAGAAAACATTGGAAGCAGCTCATTAATACTTGTCCTGGCAATGATCTTTTGGACATGATACCAAGACACAAACAAAATGGGAGAAAAATTTTGCAAACCACATATATGGTTTGATATATATATAACAGAGGTTAATATCTGAAATAGATAACAAATAAACACAACTTAATTAAAGAAAAAAATCTGATTTAAAAATGGGCAGAAGAACTAAACAGACGTTTGTCCAAAGAGGACATCATAATGACCAACAGGCCCATGAAAAGACACTGAATATCGCTAACCATCAGGGAAATGCAAATTAAAACCACAATGAGCTATCACCTCACACCAGTCAGAACCACTAGCGTCAAGAACACAAGCGAAACGGGTGCTGGTGAGGATGTGGAGGAAAGGGAAATCCTTAAACACTCTTGGTGGGAATGTAAATGGATTCAACCACTGTGGAAAACAAAATGAATGTTCCTCAAAACAGTTCAAGTAGAACTGTCACACAGTGCAGCGATTCTGCATCTGGGAGGATACCCAAAGGCAATGAAAACAAGATTTCCACAAGAGATCTGCACACCCATGTTTATCACAGCATTATTCACAATAGCCAAGATATGGAAACCAACCCAAATGCCCATCAAAAAAAGGTGTGGTTCACACACAATGGACAATTACTCAGCCATGAGAAAGAAGGCTATCCTGGCATTTGCAACAACAGAGATGGACCTTGAGCATCTTATGTTCAGCGAAGTAAGCCAGATGGAGAAAGTACTGTATATCACTTATATGTGGAATCTAAAAGAGAATAAAATGGTGGTGACCAGGAGAAAGAGGGTGGGGGGATAAGGCTGACGGCGTTTAAGGGTACAAACTTGTCACAAGTGTGAAAATAGCCACATACAGTTGAACAAACATAGGTTATTCCACAGAGTATGTAATATGACAAATGTTGTTCCAAGGGCAGCCATATTGCATTATATAAAGGTATCAACGTTACACAGGATTCCCCTTAAATTTACACAATGTCAAATTTATCCAATAAAAAAAAGTTAATCTGTTTTTCCTGGAGAGTGGGTCCCAGGTGTGTGCTGGGGAACATGCTTTCTAATAAATCCCTAAAGGGAAGGTCCAGAACCACACGCCAGACGCACCCTACTGCAGTTGGGGACTGAGCAGGTCCAGCATCTGCACATTGCCATGCATGCAGCAGGCTGGGGTGGCCTCAGAGACTCCCCCAAAATGCAGGCTCTGGCACAAGCAGCCCAGAACCCGCCGCAGGGGCTCTTCCAGAGCCTGGATGCACCTGCTCCTGCCCACCCTCCCCACACCTGCACCTGCTCCCATGTGCTAGCCTGAGGGAGAGTCCAACACTGTACCAACCAAATGAGCCCATTTCTGACTGACCTCCTCTCTGACACTACATGCTGCCAGGCATCCCATACACCTAGAAGACATTTCCCAGGGAGGAGTGCCGGCTGGCAAGGAGGAAACCTGGGTTACCCTGTTCGTCAAAGACAGTAGCACCCAAGCTCTGCCTGAGAGAGAGAGAACGGGGCAGACACAGGGCATGTTTTGAAGGAGAATCAATGAGACTGGATGATTGATGGGTATGGAGGAGAGAGTTAGCAAGGATGCCCTGGATCTCTCCTGGGAGTCAGTGGGTGGCTCCTCATCTATGCTAGGCGGAGCACCCTAGAGAAGGTGGAGAATTTGGTTTTGAACGCACTCAAGGAGCAAAGAATCCCAGTGGCCTTAGGAACCAGTGAAACACATATCAGGAATGAAGATGCCATTACTATAAAACAAAACTGAGTTTAGCATGGCTTGCTTTCTTAGCGCTCTGGTTAAATGGCCAATTAGTGGAAAGCCAAATGCCCACAAAAGTGCAATGCTGCCTGTGGGGGGTCCCTGCGCGGGGCTGCAGAGCCGCTCCCTCCCTCCAGTGGAAACTCTGAAGTCACAGGTTCTGGTGCGTGGAGGGGGGGGGGGGGGCAGCAAGTCAGCCAGCCCCGCCCACACAGAGGCAGACCCTAACCCTGTGCCCTGGCTCTGCAGGCATCTAAGTGAGGGAGCGGCTGGGTGCCAGCATCAAGCATCATGAAATCGCTGGTCATTTAAAGAGAGAGAAAAATGATACCCCTGGGCCTAGTTATCTGCACTAAACCAGGACAACTACCCCTTCTAACACTCACTACTTCCACTAACTACCACTTCTAACAGCACTCACCCCAAGCTGCCAAGTGGACGTAATAACCAGCAGCCACTTCTGTTTCCTAGCTGGTTAAGAATCAGTGTTAGAACTTGTCTGTTCCTATTCCTTTTATTTTCTTTTAGAGTGGCTGGCTTGCCGCCCTCCCCTCCCGGTGTGTGTCTATGGGGCACCGCAACCTTGTAGCATGGGCCTGTGTCCTGCCCTCCACCACCACCACCACCACCACCCCACCCCACCCCGCCCCACCCCGCCCCGGGGCTGTACAGAGACCCACCTGCAGCAGGAAAGTGGTGCGAGGCTCCCCTCCTGGCCCACAGGTTGGGGGAGCTGATGGCTCGGGTGTTACCGGCTGGACAGTGACGAGGGAGGGTCATCTTCCCGAGTGAGACACCAGAGATGAGCCCTCCACCCAAGCCTGAATGATAACCAGTATGGATTCTGAGAACAAAGTCAATTACATCAAGGTGGCATTTCTCATTAACTGGAAGCTCTGAGCCACTCTGCAAATAAAGTGTTTTCTTCCATTTGCCCAAAGGGCATAATACCTAAAAAACCAGGGTGACTTCTGATTGTTGAGCTCATTAGCGACTTAACAGCCAGCTGGCAGCACATCACTCACCCCTGCTTCCCCACCAGCCGAGTTCAGCAGGTGTGCGGCTCCCCCGCCATCCCCAGGCCCTTTCCACCCAACAGAGACCCCACCCCACGTACCTTAGTTCAAAAACTCAGAAAGGGCCCCCAGTGCTGGTTTGCTCCCAAATGCCGATCACAGCTTGAGTGTTCTAAGAGCCCCGTGCCCTCTCCGGAAGAATGCCAGGCAGGCTTTGCGCAACTGACCACACATGTAAGGACATTTCATCCAGGAAAACCAGCTAGCCTGGAAAACGGTCTTCGGACGACTCCATCAGAATGCCTTCGAGCAGAGAGGACCCTACCCATCATCACCACACCTCCCTGGGGCAAGGAAGGGGGTTGCAGGACAAACCTCCTCAGGGAGGTTTGAGGGGACACAGAGAGGAGACGCCTCACACAGGTCTGGGGAGTGGGGTTGACCAGGGCCCCCTAGGCGCTAGCATTGGTTTTGTTCAGAAGGGCTGGCACGAAAATTTTGCGACCTGTTCATGATCTAGTAAGCACCCAGCCCAAATCCAAATGACCCCAACCTCTCAGCTTTCCTTTAATTGCCCCAGGGACCCCGCCCCCCACCTACGCCCCAGCAGGAGCCATGGGCTTAGGGAAGCTCCCCGCCAGCCCAGGCGGATAACCTGGGCGGCATCTGCAATTCAATGAGCTTGGACCGAGCCCTCTCAGGGAGCCACCAGACCAGGACTGACAGTGCTCCTCACGCAGAAAGAAACCACCAATTGTTTTGTTGTCAACAGCAATTATTTAGTGTAAATATACTTTCCCTCCAAGCTGTGTTTCTGGTTTAGGTAGACAACAGAGAAGAAACTACAGATCCAGAGCTCCTGGAGGCCCCCAGTGCAGGGAACTCCAGCCTCCACCTGCGCCATGGCTCACAGGTCACGGTCTGCACCATCAAATCCCTTTCTTTGCTGTTAGGAGTCAGGCTTGAGGCCACCTGAATCCACTGACATCAGTCTTAGTTAAAGCACCCTAAAAACTGTGATGCGCGAACAGAGTATCTAAAATCAGGCACAATTCGGCAGGATGGGCGTCACATTTCTCTCCTGGGATTGTTTCAAAAGGGGCTCCTTTTCTTCAGCATTTGGGAAAGGCTTTTTTAATTCTGCTGCCCAGGAGGAATGGACAAAGCACCTCCCCCCCACCCCAGGACCTCCTCTCCTGGTCCCAGATGGAAAATCTCTGAGCATTAACAGGACCAAGGTGGGGTTCAGTTTGTCCGATATTGTTTTTCAATAGCACTTACGTTAATTCAATTTGTTGCTCACTTAGGGCTGGCCAAAGGGTATTCTCTCCCTCCCAGGGAGAGCATCGTGGCAGGGGAAAATAGCAGAAATATCATTAGACAGACCATCTCTTAAAGATACTTTCTAAGAAGCCACGGGCTCGCCTCACGCTCAGTCAGAAATTCCAAAGACAGGCCGATGGTGAGGGACACCAAGACTTCCCTCTCTGGAGGCATTTGCCGTGGAAAAGCGGAAAGAATGGGATGAAATGGTGGTGGTGAGGAGCAGAACACTGCAGGAGGAGAGAAAGGGTCGGGTGTGGTGAAAGGGGGCCAGGAACAAAGAGCTCCTGAGAGGGGGGCCCCGGGAACCAGCTTCGGGAAAGGCAGCTGAGAAAATGGGTGGTTTAATCATGTGTTAGCTGGTGCCTCTGGGCTAGGCCTTCTCACCTCGCACCCACCCAAGAATGCTCCCAGGGAGCCTCTGAGGGTTCCCACACTGCTATTTTTAAAACTGACAAGAAACGGGCTTGTCAGATTGTCAGCTCTGTAGCTGCAAACCTGGGGTTTGCTCGGGCTCGTCTGGACTAGCCAGTGCCGATGGCGTAGCTGACGGGGCCAGGCGCTCTGTTATTCAGGGCTTTGTCTTAGCCCAAGGGAGGGGCGGGGGCTGGAGGAATGGGGCCTTTGGGGTCACTGTGCTTGCTGAAATGGTAACATGCCCATCCCTAGACTCCACCCTGGCCCTCATGACCCTCTCATCAGGGTTTGCCAGGGAGGTCACACGTCTCCCCAAAGCCACCAGACATGCCCATAGGGAGTGGGAAACACAGATCAATAAGGTACCACTTGTGAAATCCCTGAAGCTCTCCTTGGAAGCTCCTTTGGCAGATGCTTCCCTGGCCCCTGGCCCCGGGGATCCTCCGAGGGTGCAGTCCCTGACTTCCCCTGCACATGCTCACAGGCCTGAGGCGGCCTGCTGCTCCTAGGGGCCTGGGGCGGGTCCTGGGGAGCTGGCCAAAGAGGGGGCATAAAGGCTGGGGCCAGGGCCGCGGCAGGGGTGGGGGCTGCTCCCAGAACCCCATGAAAATCCTATTCCCCACTTCAGGGAACATCTTGCAAATAGTGGGGTGGGGACGGGAGGCAGCTCGTCAAAAGAGCACCGAGGTCGACCTGCCAAAATTTGGCAGGACAGGTAGCAAAACCACCATTTCGAGGTCTAGACGGAACTCTGCAGGCCTGCAGTGCAACCAGAGGTGCCAACACATTCCTACCAGAACCTCGAGCTGAGTACATCAGTCATTAACCGAGGGGAGCTGGCATCACCAAGAGCAGAGAAATCAGCCACTGCTGCAAATGCAGAACTCCAGCCTGCCCTACCGGGCCCGCAAAGTGCAAGAGGTGAATCTCTTCCTGTTGGGCGATGCTGACCTCGGCCTGGCCGCCCAGGACATGCCACCACCTGCCTGGTTTGGGCAGGGCAGGAAAGGCTTCCAGTTAAAGGACAAAACACTTTTCACCCAGGCTATGCAATATCCTCAGTGATCCGCCTCCGAGTGGAGAAACCCTACCTCTACCTGGGCCACCCAAGAAACAAGGGCCTGGTGGCTGGAAATCACAGAGTCTGCGGACGCAGGCTGATCCGACAGCCCAGGGACGAGCTTGCCTACTTTGTTTGCTCTTCCAACACAAGAAAGTGGTGTGAAAAACGTTGCTGATGAATAAAGCTCACTTTGACCAGAAGACTCCATCCGACACATGTCCCCAAGAGCCCAAAAAGGCCGCTAGGGCCAGGGTCTTGCCTTTCGGGATCTAACCACTAGCTGGTATTCAGAGCGGTTTGGATTTTATCAAAATAACCACAGCGCCCCTCCCGGCCAGAGAAGTTCCCAGGATCTGCAGCAGCTTGGTGGGGGGGGGGGTTGCACAGCACCTCACCTTTGTTGGTGCTATTTTTATGACACTTGTCCCCACTCTACTGAGGTTTCCACGAAACGCTGGGTTTGAGGCTTACAGCAAGGAGCCTCCAAGAGCAGTCCTGTGTCATCTCTCAGTCCGGGATGAAAATACGAGGCGGCAAGCACCCGGGGCCGATTTGCTACTGCATGCCCCAGCAGAAGCACAGCAACCATTCCATCCTAGGCCTGGGGACTCAGACACCCCTGAGAAGGGCATCGCCACCATCCCACCGGTTTGGAGGCACCAACACTCCGTAAGCCAAGGATTAAAAACCAGGTGTTTGAGAATGCAGAGGCTATGTGCGGTTTAAAAGGAGTTGCTTTCTTTAGTCTGTGTGTCCAGGACTGACTCTGTAAGGGAGATCTCCACACAGAATACAACACAACTTCCATGTAGAAGGCAAACTTTCACCAAATGATCATTTAAATGTGCTCAACCGAAGCTTACCTATAAACTCCTCAAACGCAAATGTAAAAGGTGGAATCCAAAAAAAAAAAGAGCTGCTTCTCGACACCCCCCTCTCCCACCTCCACCCCCAAAATGATGCGCAGATCACAATCCAGCAACTGAGTTTAACTGGGGTGGCTTTGCGTCCTTTCCAATCGTCATTAACTTGAGCACCCCTGTTAGGCCGGGACAGGCAGGTTCTGTGTTGGCTTTTCGACTGGAGCTGGGTGGGAGGCGGGGGTGGCAGTGCAGGAGGGAGGGCGCTCTGGCTTGACCACAAAGCAGGTCAATGTAAAGACCCCTCCCCAGAGGCTGTGTGTCGAAATAAAGTCAGCTAAAACTAGAGTGTGTGGCGAGGAGGCGCTGGACGGAACACGACCCCCTGGGCCGCCTGCCGGACCCCAAGGCCAAGCCCGAGCCCCGTAGCGCCGAGGAAGCCTGGCCAAGCCAAACCAATACTTCCGACCGAAATAATTACCGTCTTACACCAATTTGTGCTCCAACGTAAATTACTAAGTAAGTCGAACGGAGTCTAACTAACTCACAAAGCCCAGATCCCACACGGCAATTTTTCTAAGCCGGGCGCAGACCGCAGCGCCCAGGCGGGTCCCCGGCGGGCCGGACGCGCCTCGGAGGGGCGCGGGTCCAAAGCCCAGAAAATCCGAGGCTTCACGCGAAGCCAGGTAACACCACTGGGCGCCTCACAACGTTTCCACCAAACGCGGCCCCTCGAAGTCCCCTGGAGGAGCCGCAGCCGGGGACCCGGCGTGCGCAATGAGACCGGTTGTAGCTCGCCACCCTGGCCTCCGCGTCCCTCGGGCCCGGCAAGCGGCGCGGACACCGCCGGGAGCTCACAGCCTCGCCGGGCGCTTGGTTTTTCCTCCGAGTGCTCCGGAGGCGACCCAGGTGGAGAGGAGAACCCCCGGAATCCAGGCACCTGGGTCCCGGCCGCGTCGCCCGCCCCAGCGCCCCCGCCCGGGCGGCTGACCTGTCGTCGACGTGCAGGCTGGGCGAGCACTTGATGGCGAGCCACGTCTTCCAGTGGACATGGCGCACCTTGTACACCTGCCCGAAGCCGCCCGAGCCGACCTTCTCCCAGCCCGCGAACTCGCCCGCGTCGAAGGTGCGCAGCAGACCCAGGGCCCACGGGCTCCCGCTCTCGCCCTCCATCGCGCGCGTCTCGCCGCCACCCCGCGCCGCCGCGGCCGCCCAGGTGCCCAGGTGTGCGCCCCGCCCGCTGACGTCACTTCCGCCGCCCGCCGGCCCCGCCTCCCCCCGGGCGCCGGGGCCCCGCAGACCCACCGAGGGACGTGTAGGGTCACTGCGTTCTCCGCCGGGCGCGCCAAGCGGGAGAAGGGCCGGGCGCGCGCGGCGGCTGGCCTGAGTGGGTGGGTGCGCGTGTTAGAGCAGAGTCGATCTGATTTTCTGCGAGATTGTAGGAAATAAGCGACTCTGCTAAGTTTTCCCGGTGCTATCACTTGGCAGAACTTTGCCAAAAAAGGAAAAAGAAGTATCCGGCAACCAGGAGATTGACTTTCATACAAACCACGGATCTTATTCAGATTTCCCCGATTTTACTTGTCCTCGTTAGCGTGCATTAAGTTCTGTACAGTGTTATCACCTGTGTAAGTTCGTGTATCTACGCTGCTTGTCAAGATCTAGAGCAAACCATCAGGAAAGGACCCCTCCTGCGCCCCTTTTTAGAACTGAACCCCCAAACCCTGGCCATCACGAGTCTTACCTCTATTTCTAAAATTGTGTTATTTCAAAATATGTTTGCACACAGGAATGACATCGTGTGGGATCTTTTGGAATTGACTTTTTTTTTTTTCACTAAGCGTAATTCCCTGGAAATTAGTGTCTCGCATTTTTACACTGAAGGTTCCACTTTGGAAGTAGCTTTCTTTTTTTTTTTTAAATCACCCCAACAGCAAATCTAAAGTGCAGTTTAAAGACAGCAGGGTACCTCCATCCTTTCTAAAGAACAGTATTTTTGTACACGTAGAACAAATTGGGGAGAAAAGATGGTTTTCCACCTTTGGGGGAAAAAAATTCCCGGCCTTGAATGAGCTTGGATCTTGGAAAGATATCTGAGTCAGAGGTCGAGAAATGTGATTGCAAACTTCCACACCTAAAAACCACTCACTCCTGTGGGACTGTACAGTGAGGGAAGGTGTCTTCTGGGTCTAATGAGATGAATAATGGATGTAGGGTGGTGGGAGAGGATCAAGGAGGGAGCATTTTAACGACACTAACTGCATTTTTGTGTTACCCAAGGAAGGAGATGGTGATCCTAGCTGGCATGTGGAAGCCTCAGACTTAGCTTCTATAGGCTTTACCTTCCACTGGGCATATGATAATTTTATATTATTCCCAGTAATGGAGCCCTAGTGCTGCTTTGGAAACGGCCTACTGTCCCCTCCCCCACAGGGCTTCTCTTTGGCCAGTGCTCATTTCCAGCCCCCACCCCCCCAAGCAGCCCTCCCGGTGGGCCTCTTAGGAAGACTAGGCAGACTTGTCCTTCTCCACATAATCCTGAACTCAGAATTGATCTCCTGGAGACTGGAGTGGCAAATGGTTATTGATTGTAGCAAATGTAACTAACATTTACATGAACATTTTAAAAATAATAACTTGAAAGTAAACACAGTGGTTGTTTTGCTGGTGAAAAACAATGAATCAACTAGAAAATGAGTCACTTGCGGACGCTGTTTCCGGGACTCAGCTAGAGACACCTTTCTCCAGACTCCCTATGCTCCAGAATCCTACTGTATGAGGCCCAGCAGCATAAGTGACTAACAGCTCACACTGGTCTAGTAATAAAATACAGCAATTTCATTTATTTAATCATCTGGTGCTTCACTCAACAAATATTTATGGAGTGTCTGCTGCAGGCTCAGCACTGGGTTCCTGAACCCACAACCAGAGCCGACAGCCACCTCGATAATCCCCAACAGCAAGCACATGGGGGCAAAGATCAAGGCCAGGGTTGGATAGACTGGCATAGCTCTTCCTTGGACTTGGCTGTGTTCCTCACGCAGGCCACTCAACCCACTCTGAAGTTCAGTTTTTTAATCTGTAAAAGGAAAACAAAGTCCATTGCAGGAATTGAGAACAGAGCCCAGGCTCTAGACCCTGTGGGATTATAGGAGAGTAACTGTTTATGTTAATGGTCACTGGCCTTAGGTAGGTAAGGCTGGCATTTCTAAGTATAAAAGTAACTCACAGTTTCAATAATTTAGTGATTTTTTTTTTTCCTGTTGTTTATTTTATAATGTGAAGTGATAAGCCTTTGTGGCCACTCTGGGGCCATCCAAGAAACCCCAAAGATGGTTGAAATGTAGAAGATATCTTACCCTTTTGGACAGAAAAAAAAACTTGATATTATATTGAGGTATGTATAAAATATTTACAGGGTTTTTTTTTGTTGTGCAAATATTTAACATAAATACATAGCAAGTACTAGTGACAGGCGAAAAGATTTAAGATGAACACAGCAAATCAATTAGTTGAAATGCTTTAAATCACTGAAAGGACACAAAACAGAAAGATCGTCATTTTTTACCTGTAGATGTTTTATCACTTGTAGGCTTTAAAAAGATTAATACTGCATGCCATTTTATGTATGAGATTAAGCATATACAAATTGAAATTTAAAACGTTTAATGTTAGCTTTAAAATACAGTAAGTTATCAGAATATTAAATAAGGCAAAATGTATTGAATTTTCCATCTTAATGAGCTGCAGCAATTTTCTTAATAAACAGAGAAACCTCATCCATAATTTTATAAGCAACTCATATTCTCTGAAATGTTGAACCCACTACAGTGTCAGTAATTTATGTCAAAGAAAACCTTTCATCAAAGCATGAAGTTTCACGTTTAATATATTTTAGGTAAAAATAAAAGTGGACTGACTTAAAGAAAAATACTAGCGCAAGTTTTGCATCCCAGCCTCGGAAGTGGCCAACGTGAGGATTAGCGGCCACGTCTGTGCACGGCCCCGGGGTGGCCCCCGCGCGCGAGGAACTCAGCGCAGCCGGTGGGCACCCCCAGGGGCTCGAGGCTGACGCAGTTGGGAGAGGTGAGCCCCGAGGGCAAGACGCTCGGCGAAGTGACAGTCGACCTGTCCGGGAGCTCGGGTGAGGAGCGCAGGGCACCGCGGAGGGAAGGGCATGCCCCCGGGGACTCTGCGGCCCTTCTCGGAAGAAGTGCCAAGTCCGCGTCCTCCTCCTCGGGCGCCTGGCCGGCGCAGCTCGACCGACGCCCCCCTGCCTCCCCAGCCTCCCCAGCCCAGGGGCCCCGGTGTGCCAGGCTCGGCGGGGATGTCCCTTTCTCCGCGCGCCGCCCCTGCGTCCCGCCGCGGGGAACCGACCGAGCCGGCGGCCCGGGAGCCGGCAGGCGCGGGGCCCTCCTGCGGCAGGGTGACTTGGCCGGTCCTGGAACCCGGGGAGAGGGGTCCCTGCCTCAGGATGGCCGCGGGGCTCCAGGGGGCCAGTGGGCACGGCGTGGGCCAGGTGCTGGATAAACAGTGCGGGGTGTGTGTCACTTCGGCTGTGTGCGTCTGCCCGGTGAGCTGGTCCCCCTCGAGGTCCCCGGAGCGGCGCGCCGCCCTGACATGGCCCTCCTGGGCCACCGACTCCCTTAGTCCTGGAGCGAGCCCGGGGCCACCGAGCCCAGGGCCCAGGTTGACCCAGCGCCACCAGGGTCCCCTGCGGGACCGCCCACGCGGGAGGGGCAGCGGAGCCCTGGGCGCCTCCTCCGCGCTGCGCCGGGTCCTCCCCTTTCCCCTCGCCCGCCCCCTCCCCTCCCCTCCCCCGCCCTCGGGGAGGCTCCCCCAGGTCCAGCCCCCTCCCACCGTGCAGGCTCCGCCCCAGGAAGGTGGCTTTGCTCTCCTCCTGCTGCAACTTGCTCGGCTGTTTCTGAGAATTTCCCTGCATGATTTGAATGTTATTTGCTGAAGAGCATAACTTGTTCACCGCTGCGATTCTGCCTTCCTAAGTTCTGAAGGGCACCCGGAGCAAGATTCCGCTGCCCGGATTTCCACAGCCACCCCGGCGTGTAGCGGGGGAGAAGGGGAGCGGGACTGACTTCTAACTCCTAGCTCCTATCAAGCATTTTCCTTTCTTTCCATTGAAGTATAGTGACACGCACGTTATATTGGTTTCAGCTGTACAACACAGTGATTCAGCATCTGTCGCCTTACCCCACCATTTCGGTCCCATTAGCTCCGTTCCCTGTGTGGTGCCTTTCACGCCCTGACTCACTCCCTACCTGGAAGCCTGCCTCCCACTCCCTCCACCCCATTTGTGTCCATCCCCCCCATGCCCCCCTCCCAACCACCAGTTTGTTCTCTGTGTTTAGGGGTCTTTTTCTGCTTTCTGTTTGTTTGTTTGTTCATTTGTTGTTGTTGTTTTTTAGATCCCACGTATAAGTGAAATCATATGATATTTGTCTTTCTGTGTCTGCCTTCATACTCTCTAGGTCTGTCATGTTGCCGCAAATGGCAAGACCTCATTCTTTTTTACGGCTAAGTAATATTTCATTGTGCATATATACCACTTCTTTATCCACTCATCTACTGGTGGACACTTGGGCTGCTTCCATACCTTGCCTATTGTTAATAATGCTGCAGTGAACATAGGGGCACATATATCCCTTCAAATTGGTGTTTTTGTATTTGGGGGGTAAATACCCAGTAGTGGAATTACTGGATATGATAATTCTATTTTTAACTTTTGGAGGTACCTCCATACTGTTTTCCAGAGTGGCTGCACCAGTTTGCATTCCCACCAACAGTGCCTGAGGGGTCCTTTTTCTCCACATCCTCGTCAACACTTATTATTGCTTGTGTTGTTGATTTTAGCCATTCTGACAGGTGTGAGGTGGTATCTCATCGTGGTCTGGGTTTGCATTTTCTTGATGATGAGTGATGTTGAGCATCTTTTCATGTGTCTGTTGGCCATCGGGATGTCTTCTTTGGAGAAATGTCTGTTTATGTTTCTGCCCATTTTTTAATTGGATTATTTGGGTTTTTTGGTGTTGAGTTGTATCAGTTCTTTATATATTTTGGATACTAACCCTTTATTGGATATGTCATTTGCAAATATCTTCTCCCATTCCGTAGGTTGCCTTTTTGTTTTGTTGATTGTGCAGAAGCTTTTTATCTTGATGAAGTCCCAATAGTTCCT